GACTCTCAAGAGCCTCCTCCAGCACCACAATTCAAAGGCATCAATTCTTCGGCGGTCAGCTTTCTTTATGGTCCAGCTCTCACTTCCATACATCACTACAGGAAAAACCATAGCTTTGACTATTTGGACTTTCGTTGGCAAGGTGATGTCTCTGCTTTTTAAGATGCTGTCAAGATTTGTCATCGCTTTCCTCCCAAGAAGCAGGCGTCTTTTAATTTCGTGGCTGCTGTTTCCATCTGCAGTGATCATGGAGCCCAGGAAGATAAAATCTGACACTGCCTCCATGTCTTCCCCTTCTATTTCCCAGGAGGTGATGGGACCAGTGGCCATGATCTTAGTTTTTTTGATGTTGAGTTTCAGACCGTTTTGTGCACTCTCCATTTTCACCCTCATTACAAGGTTCTTTAATTCCTCCTCACTTTCTGCCATCAGAGTGGTATCATCTGCATATCGGAGGTTGTTGATATTTTTTCCGGTTTGGCAATCTTAATTCTGGTTTGGGATTCCTCCAGTCCAGCCTTCCGCATGATGTATTCTGCATATAAGTTAAATAAGCAGGGAGACAATATACAGCAGGGAGACAATTTTATTTATATGTATTTTTTATTTTGCATTAGTTCTTGGGGATTTGGTTTTGTGTGATGTTTTACTCGTTTGGTACTGTAGCTTTATCATATGTTTTCCATTACGTTTTTGTTAGCTGCCCGAAATGTTTTTTAATTTAAAAATTCAAATAAATAAATAAATAAATAAATAAATAAATGAATGAATGAATGAATGAATGAATGAATGAATGAATGAATGAATGAATGAATGAATGAATGTGTGGCCTTGTCAGCTAGATGGACGGTATAGAAGTCTAATAGATAAATACATAAATGTATTTTTTTTTTGTTTTCCCCATCCCAGGCAAATGTAAAATGCATAGAAAACATTTAGAGGCTATTGAATATTCCAGATTGAACTGAATAGATTTCATAGATGTTTAAGGCTCCTCGTCTGAATTAGATTGATGACTGAGCGGTAGAAAGGTAGGGCTTAAGGCTGCTTTTGCTCTCAAAAAGTGTTCTTGTTTTTTTATTTCTTTTTTTTCTTTCTCCCTTCTTTTTCTTTTTCTTTTTGGTTCTTGGCATTTTGTGCAAAAAACAAAACAAAAAAAACAACAACCCAAGAGCACATTTGTGCAAACAAACCCTGTTCCATATAGAGAGGCTTGTATTTTGCACCAATCCAACTTTTTCCACACAAAACATACTTTTTCCACATAGAACTCTTGCCTTTTTACAAAAGCTTTGTCTGATTAAGAAAGAAAGGCTGGTCGTTTTGCTCTTGGGTAGGAGTAAAAAAATGTTGCCCTGGTTACTCATTATTTTGACAGGTTTCCTGAAAACACTGAGACACCCCTTTTCACTGAAGGTGAGAAAAGTTTCAAGATCTCTCCAAGTCCTCACTCTGTCCTTCTTTCTGCTTCCTCCATCCGTCACATTCTCCTTCATCCATGCAAACAGACATGTTCACACACCCAGGCAGGCCTCACCCTTCACTAGGGGTCAGAGTGTGTTTTTGCCTCATCAACCGACCACCCCCACATGTCTGTCTGTGGGTCGGCCACATCCTTCTCTGCAGTGACTGCTGCTGGCCCAGCCACCGCATGCACCATGGAAGGTTCTGCCACTTTCTGAACACACACTCCCTCCGCGGAGCAGGCCAGTTGGACATCCCCGCCTTACACTCTCAAAGGCTTCCTTCATTCCAGAAAACAGCATGGCATGGCCCGAGGAAGTGAGGATGTGACCAGCAGTCAGGAGAGGATGATATTTCTGCATAATAGTTCCCCTCTATTCAGCACTGGTTAGGCCTCATCTGGAGTATTGTGTCCAGTTCTGGACACCAGAAACAGGCAAATGCTATTTTTGGCTACATTAACAGAACTCA